TGTGATCCTGGTCATACTGGTATAATCTAAGTAGGTGACAGTGATAAACTTTGTGTATGTAGAAATCCTGGCAGCAATTTTGAGCACTGATCCATCCTACATCCTGAGACATTTTTATAGGTGGAAAAATGCCCTTTAGGTACCGAGTGAGTCCTAGAAGTCTTAGGGGAAAATGAGATAAAATTTTACTTTTTGTCTTGAGGTCAAGTTTAATTTTAAGTATTTCATTCCAGTTACTTCAAACGTTCTGAGATAGTTAGCTTAAACACAAAAAAGCATTAGTGATACATTTAAGCTCTAGTACACAAAGTAAACAAACACTACATATTGATTAAAGTCTGAATTTAAAAGAAATCATCTCCCCCAGAAGCACATGACACCACATCAATTTAAGAATGAAAAAGAAAAACTAATAAACTGAACTCCATTAATACGGAGACTTTTTTTTTCCCAAAAGTTTGAGAAAACAGACTATACCAAGCAAGGATCCATGCATTTGCCAAGTTGAAACACACAATAAGGACAGATTAATGTCATCTGTCCTTCACAAACAACCTTATGAAAATATAAAAGGCATCAATTTGAAAATCAATGATTAACTATGTAAGTGCTACTTTAAGAAATTGCATCTTCAAGTCACACAGCATTAAAAGGGGTAATTTAAATACCAAATAAAGAGACAATTTGCCTTCTGTATCCACTCAACATTAAATCAGAAAACAATTTTAAAAGTTCCAAGCAGGGCCCTGTGTGGCTCACTCGGTTGAATGGCTGCCTTCCACTCAGGTCATGATCTCAGGGTCCTGGGTTCCAGCCCAGTGTGGAGCTCTCTGCTCAGCAGGGAGTCTGCTTCTCCCTCTCACTCTCTGTGCTCTCTGTCTCTCTCAAATAAATAAATACAATCTTTAAAAAATAATAAAATAAAAATAAATAAAATAAATAAAAGTTCCAAGAGATTAAACAGATAACGTATCTGCGGCACTTTAAAAGATCATATCTCTACATAAATATTGCATCAAGACTTTTATAAAGGGGTGGAGTGCTTTTTTAAAAAATATCTTTTCTCTCACACACTATTAAAAAGTTCCAAATGATTTTAAAATACAGAGGAGAAAGCTCAAATATGATGTTCAAAGAATGGCTGCATTTGGTTAATGAAATCAAACTTCACAGGAGCTATATATTACAATATAATAAATTTCACATTTTAATATGAAAACTTTAAAAATGTTACTATTTTAAGAATATAAAAGGCATTAAGGTTAGCTAGTAGGATCTTTTGCTGTTAGTTTGCAAGACTGAATAACTATGTGAAATATATATTCATCTGCCCTTTGTCTCATCAGATTCAAATTGATAGACCAACCTAATCAATATGGTAGAGTCTGTACAATCAAACTTTAGACCCGATACACAGTAATTATAATACATTCATTTGAAAACTGAAAAAGCAAAACAAAAACAAAAACCTAGGGCGAACATATAACACACTGTACCTGTGCCTAGCTAGCTACTTTGACGACAAACCTCTCACCACTACGACAGATCTTTGGGTGCGTCTCTAACAAGATTAACCGAGCCCATCTACTTCATCACCTGGAAAGTTATTAACCCCTGAGGTCGCCATCCTGCCAGTCTCTTCCCAGCTTTTCCCAGCAAAGAAAACACCTCAGCTGCCATGTTGAAGATGCTCTTTCACACTGTAGCAAAAGTCCCCTCCCATAATGTTTTAAGAACATCCCCAGCATGCATCAGATTATGTTTTTTCTAGGTCATACGTTCTTATAATTGGGATCCTATCTATGTGTTGAAATGAAGAGATCTAGGAGCCAATGTTGCTGCCTACACACTTCACATACACTGTGTATAATTATGCACCTATTCCTCATTTTAAGTGATCACAACATGCTTCATTTTTAAATATGAAGCTTTCAAAAGTCAGGAGCTGGCTGTATAGATTTAAACCAAGGTTTACATTTAAGGACTTCTGAGGATAGACCAAGCTAGAAGTGGCAGCTACTGACAAAGCATGATGTTATGATCCAACTTGGTTAAACATCAGGAGAAAGGGAGGAAAACTAAGTTCTGGGAGGTATGTATTTGGAGAGAAATAAAAAGGGTTCAGTGCCAATTTCAATGTCCTAGACTACTGCTTAAGATGAACTGTTACAGATCCCTGTAGACAGAACCCTGCTGCTAAATTAGAGGGCACATCGCACCATGGGGTAGACTTTAATTTTGTCTGTAAAGACTTCTATTTCCCAGGTATTTTTTCTCTAGGGGAACACAGTCATGGTTTTAATATAAGCTAATCAAAAATAATTCAAAGTAACTTTAAAATTAACTCACAGTTATAATAAATGTATTGTGTCCAAGTGAGAGATGGTCTCTCTCCTGTCATGTTATATATTTATTAGTAATAAAGTAATACAAACTGCAGGCTGCCAACCGTGATTATAAATTTAAAAAAAAAAAATCTGTGACCAGCATAATACTTCCCCTAGTAACAACTTTGTGTAACAGGGAGAATTTTGCAACCGTACCTTTTATTTATTTATTTATTTTTGCCACATGACCCACCCTCCACATTTGCTAGAGGAGGAGCCAGTCCAACAGGTTAGTTCTTTGCTAATGTTGTTTCCCAGTACTTTATACTGTTAAAAATTATGCAACAATGTAGTCTTAAGCCATTTCTTACAAAATGGCCAAATAAGTCACTACAATTCAGCCACATGGCCACCATGTGAAACTGCATTTTTTTTTTAAAAAGCTCACTCTGCTCTTCAGTATTAAATATACCTTTGTAAGTGAGACTAAGAAAAGAACTCGAAGACTGATAAATCTGTTGAAGATTGAAATCCTGTAGTCATTCAGTCAACTCTCAAATATTAGCACTAGTAAAAAGAAGAGCACAGATATTCCAAAGACTGGGGAGAATTCAAAATGTTTTTTTTTGTTGTTATTATTATTCTTAGCATTTCATTATGGCTGTACCTGACATTTTAGGAATTAAAGAATTCTTCACTAAAGGAGGAAGCCATGTGACACTCAATACAAGAAGCCATGGAAAAGTACTCCTTGAGTTAATGTCTCCATACTAGGGATGAGGAATACCTTCCATTCTGTTCTCTTCACGTTCATTTGTTTCCCTGGCCCATGCATGCTTCACTAAGGTGAGTAAGGGAGGGGCATCAGGGAATTAGGTATTTCTGCTTTGAAGTGTATTTTGGGACAGCCAAGGCCCAGCTAGGCCAGTCGAAGAGGAGTCTCTGAAGTGTCAAAGACACTCCAAAGAATCCTGTAAACTCCTGAACAAAACTAGACATATGTTTCTGCCAATGCATTTGGCGACTCCGACTCTTTGCCTTGGTACTCTTCTCTTACATATCTAGAAGGGCTGTAAACCGAGTGCCATAAATGTTTATATTTATAGGGTGTGTGTGTGTATGTGTGCATGCACAAGTGTGTGCATGCGTGTGGGAGGAGGGGGGAGAGAGAGAGGAAACAGACTCTCTGTGGACAAATAAATCAACTATAGAAGCGTGAATACTACTGCCCTCACGATGGCACCACAGTCTATTTCCCCAAGGAAACACTAACCTCACTGATACCTGACCTCTTTTATCAATCATGGGGTAGCGTGCTAAGTAGCTGAATTCAGAGACGGCTAATTCAGGCTTGCTGATGAAAATCTCTGGCCATGTTTAAGATTTTTCTCATGCAGGCTAATAAGTAGACTTTAGCACCAAGCTACACAAGAACATTAAGTCTTGAATTACTTTACACTTGGAATTCAAAAATAGTTATTAGCACATAAGAACTACTAGATCTTCTGTTTCAAGTTTATAACCTATTATAATTAAAGCAATTCTCAGAAGACCAGAAATACAAGAGAGGCAGCATTGTATCCAGGGTTTTGGTCTTGGTTCAGGAGCCTGCTGAACTGTAAGATCTGGAACAAATTAAATAACCTCTTGTCTGTTTCATCTGTAAAATGAGAAAACTGGATTCTTATTTTAAGATAGCACAGGCCCGTAAAGTTTTAAAAGCAAAGAAGGATGGTGAGGGGAAGGACACAGCTGCCTTGGGGGGTGGGGGACAGGTATGGGCATTTAAAAAAAAAAAAACAATAAACCAAAAACCCTACCATTTGCTATCACCACCATTTCCTAAAATACAGAATGTATTTAATGCCCCCAAATTAGATGGACAGATCTTATAATAACAAGCAATCATTTAAATGGGAAGAGTTTAATCTTAAAAAATGCATGGCCTGTTGTCCTTACTTTCCTCACTTCACCCTGGACCACTAAAAACTCCTCACTGACCAGCACTGGTCTAAACATCAATGTTTGGGAAACACTGGACTGGGTAATTTTCAAGGTCCAAGACTCAAACACTAGGACTCTAATTTTAAGTGTGCTGTTGTGTTTCTTTTATTCCATGCTATAGTCTAGAGTAGATGCTTCGGTGAGAGACAAGGCTAATACCTAAAATTCTGCAAATCAGAAATATGTTTAAATCAGTTTTGCGAACCAGTTAACTAGAACAAGCTTCAATTTATTAGGGAGAGTATCCACTACTACAGACTTCATGTCATCAAGAATAATAAACCTCCTTACAGATTAGAAAATTGAGGCAAAAGGAAGCAAAATAGCTTGCCAAAGACTCTCAGCCTGTAAGCCTCAACAGTCAGAACTGCAACTCCAATCTGTGACTCCATTTTTTGGTAACTGCTTAAGGAAAAATATTTTACTTAGATTTCAACTATCACTTCCCCTTTTAGAAATGAGTGGTGATGGTTTAAATTTTAGAAGCTGTACAGGGTAAAAAGTTTTCCCATTTTACTTTTCCAAATATTGCCCTTTTAACACAAACATGGAGATTGGCAGGGTTTTTCCACTACAAAAAGAGTCAAGATGCCTGCTAGTATGTTTAAAACTTAATTTCCTCCAAAAACTGATAAAATTACAAATTTAGAATTTTTGAAGAATACTTACAGATTTCCTTTTTCTCTTAAGAAGAACACGTATATCTTTTGTGATTTCAATCTGTAATAAAAGACAACATTTATGGGTACAGTAACATAAGAAAAAAACCCTTTTAAAAACACTCAAGTGTTGTTTCACCTCACCTGTGCACCTTAGTTCATGATGAGCCAGGTACCAAAGGGAAAACAAAAAATGATTAGAGATGATCATCTGGCTAAAAGTAGTGTAGGGTTGCAGAAAAGTAACTGAGCCTAAGAAACAGTAGTCAAAACTCTGTGGGAAAATAGCAAGATGAAAAAATGGGCAGAGAAACTAAAATTACACTTGGAGAAATAGTCATTTCTCCAAAGAGGACATCCAGATGGCCAACAAGCACATGAAAAGGTACTGAACATCACTCATCATCAGGAAAATGCAAATCAAAACCACAATGAGACATCACCTCACACTTGTTAGGATGGCTATCATCAAAAAGACCAGGGATAACAAGTGTTGGCGAGTTTGTGGAGAAAAGGGAAGCTCTGTGCAGCGTTGGTGGGAATGTAAATTGGTACAGCCACTCTGGAAAACAGTATGGAGGTTGGGTAAAAAATTAAAAATACAATGATCACATGATCCAACAATCTCACTTCTGGATATACAGCCAAAGGAAATGAAAACAGGATATCAAAAAGAGATCTGCACTCCCATGTTTACTGTAGCATTATTCACAATAGCCAAGATATGGAAACAACTTAAGTGTCCACCAATGGATGAATGGATGAAGCAAATATGGTATGTACATCATACAATGGAATATACTCATAGTCATGAGAAAGAAGGAAAGCCTGCCATTTGCAACAACATGGATGGACCTCGAGGGTATGCTTTGTGAGATGAGCCAGGCAGAGAAAGACAAATGTTGCATGATGTCGCTCATTTGTAGAATCTAAAAAAGCCAAACTCATAAGAACAGAGTAGAATGGTGGTTATCAGGGCCTGGAGGGGAGACCAGGGGGGACGTTGTTAAAGGATACAAACTTGCAACTAGAAGATGAGTAAGTTCTGGAGATCTGATGCACAGCACAGTGATCACAGTCAACAATGCTGTGTCATATACTTCAGAACTGCTAAGAAATTAGATCTTAAATGTGCTCACCACAGAAAATGATAATTATGTGATGCAACAGAGGTGTTAGCTAAAGCTAAGGTGGTAATCGTAACAATATATAAATGTATCAAATCAACATGTTGTGCACCTTGCACAATATTATACATCAATTATATCTCAATAAAAAATTTTAAAGTAAAATGAAAAGAAAATGGCAAGAAGCAAGAGTCATGCTGTTAATAGTTTTATTTGTACTTCTTATCCCCCCCCACCCCCTATCAGGACAGGAGTCAAGTTCAGGGATAATGTCTGACCACAGGAAACTAGCCAATCTACCCAGATATCCCCACCTCAAGTGCCTGCAGGCGCCTACCGATTTTCCCATCAAAATCCAAAATCAATAATTTCCTTTAAACAGTGAAAGATTCTTTCCAAATCAAAATACTGCACTGCTCTAGTCAAAAACCTAGAGATATTTTCATCCTCCTTCAATGAATATACAGATCAGTTTTATGATGCTCTTGAAGATATATATACGCTATGAAGGTTTACGGTCAGTTTACAGCTGAGGATTAACCTATTTTGTACAGTGCAGGAGAAAATGACTTATCATCTGAATACTCAGAATAGTAAAATAAGGCCCTTCCGTAATTTGACATCACTTACTTACATTCCAGCACTGCGGGGGTGTCCTGGGCACGATTAAGATTTTGAAGAAGAAATGAAGTCTTAGCTCCATGCTGTAGTACTCAGTAGTACTTGCATGGGACTATGAGAAAAACCCTTCAAACACTTTTTTAAAAAAAATCTAGACACTCCAATGGAAGTCGCAAACATCCATATGACTAATGACCACACTAACTACTTGGTAAATAAAACAGTTCATTTTCTCTTTTGCTACCCACAGAACAATGAAGGAAAGAATGATTTATACCCAGACCTATCGCTAACAGAGCATGCCTTTTGTTTTGTTTCATGGAACTACTTCTCCACTTCAAGTGAATATCCACAATCTACTTTTGGGGAGGGTGCGCTGGGGACAGTATCAGCACATGTGTGAACACATGGTTAAGACTACTTATAAACAAGGCATGCTACTTAACATTTTCTTGTTTTTCTCCCAGAGGGATAACATTTGATATTAACATAAGGAAAGTAAATCTCTGCATATACATACTCAAATAAAGTCCAAAGAGCTCAAAAAGAGAATGTTGGGGAAGAAAAACTTCATATTTCTAAGTACAAATGGATAGATTTCCCCCCACAGATTAACTCAGGTAACTGATAAATGACAAAGACCAACTTTCTACAAAATCATTTAAAGACCTATGGGTGGCTGGCAGCGGGGGGGGGAATACAAAACTATCCACTAGCTTGCTTAATTTGGAAAATAATTTCATCCGTAAATATTTGCAAAGGATAGTTTACACTTGGTCCTTGGTACTACAGAGGGAGAAGATGGAGAGGAGAATCAAGTGTCAGAGAATTCTCTCAGCTGAATGAGAGCCCCAGCTTCAACCTTCTACTCATTTCCAGTCTCACAGTCCTCCATCAATCAGGCAAGGCAAAGCAACTCTAGGAGGTTCTTTTTTTTTAAGATTTATTTATTTATTTATTTGAGAGAGAGAGAGAGAGAGAGAGAATGAGAGATAGAGAGCACGAGAGGGAAGAGGGTCAGAGGGAGAAGCAGACTCCCTGCTGAGCAGAGAACCTGATGCGGGACTCGATCCCGGGACTCCAGAATCATGACCTGAGCCGAAGGCAGTCGCCCAACCAACTGAGCCACCCAGGCGCCCTAGGAGGTTATTTAGGAGGTTCTTAAATACAAGAGACAGACATGATTTTTTTTCAGCACCTGTACCTTTAATGGACATTTCTTTCATCGTTTAAAAAACAAAACAAAACAAAAAAAGCAACTGCTGCCCAGCAGATAGAAGAGAACTAAATCACATTTCCTAATCTAATTTTTTTCTATACAATGGAAAAACTGACCTTGAACTTAACCTCTCCCCTACCCTCCCCCCCTAAAAAAAGCACCCTGCTCTTAAAGTCATTCTATTAAAATAAATTGAAGAAATAATTTCATATAAAAGAACTAAGCAGATGATCACCGCACAGCTTCCATTTACAAATGACTGGGACTAGGGATGATCTGGCTGAAATGAGAATGCAAATTTGGGACACACTTTTCACTTTCACATGTATATGCAAGTTTTTGTTAGCACAAGAAAGTTGGAAATCCTTCACAAGGCAAATTTTTAACAGACTGAAGCATATAATATAGTTTGTTTCTACTTAATGATCACCTGGTGGCATGAAAAAAAGAGAATACAGCATCCAGAGTTTATCGTCTTTCAATTAGGAAATGAGGTGGCCCTGAGAAAGCCTTACTCATTGAATACCATGAAGCAAAACAGTGTCCAGGCAGCTAACAGGACGGTGATTAAGGAAAAAGCAACCACAAATACGAAGCAGGGCTGTTCAACTTCAGACAACCCTCATATTTTCAGACAGACTTCAAAACAAACCATTAATGTGTTTAGTTTTTGCCCTCTTGCAAATAAGTTAGTCTGCTAACCAATATTTTGAAAACATTCTTCTAAAGTAAAGTCAATACTCAACTTGTGATAACATCTGTTGGAAATGTTTAAAGCACGATCAATCTTCCTCCTGTAATTAATGTCTCAAGGACCAAGCTTAGTACGTTTAAAAGAGAATGTTTCAAAAAGAGTGGGAAATATTCACAAAGTCCTGAGCATTTAGTGTGCAAATCTAAAAGTAAATTCTGGTGAGTCCCTCATAGAACGATCTCCTCAGCAATGGTCTTTTATAGGTCTTGCTTCAGATAGATGCATGTAGGTCACGTGTTTGCTAATGGATAAAAACTACCATAACTATAATACAGTTCAAAGGTTAGAAATGTTGAAATCAAGAAACAACACAGGTACAAAACAGTATGTATGACTCCGTTATATACATATATATTTGGGTGGGTACATTCATAGAAAAATTAGCAAGATATGCACCAAATATTAATGCTAGCTATTGCTGTGTGATAGGATTACAGGTGAATTTTATGTTTTAGTATTTTTTGTTCTGTTTTAATGTCTTATATACTTTAGTATTCTTTCTGCTGATTTCAATAGCTCCCAAAATTTCCATAAATATTGTTTATTTTAAAATGATTTTTAAAAAGTCATAAAGAAGAAGAAAATTACATTTAAAACAGGCCTACATGACTATCATAAGCCAATCAAACTACTAGAGGGTACTGCTCAGAATCTAAGCTATAGTAGAATCTTTTCTTTTCCCCTTAAGAATATATAAAGTATGAGTGGTTCAAGAGTCTTAAATGTTTCACAGGCTTGTAGGTCACTTGATTCATAAACATTAAAATGTATTAAACAAATATTATAACCTAAATAATAAAACTAATCAAAATCTATCATGTAATAGTGTAAAAAGTATGGAGATGATTCTAGGCTGTCAGAGACTAGAAGGCTGATTCATGGAAAAGTTAGGTAACCTAAAACAAAATGTGTTTTAAAAATATTCATGGTATCTCAATAAAGTGTTTAAAAAAACAAACACAAACATTATAAAATATAAAATACAAAGTGAAAGTGTCTTTTTTATTCAATCCTCCAGAAATAACAGCTTTTAATAGTATGGTAAGTGCCCTTGGAGATGTTTTTGTAAGCAGAGTCCCAATACACATGTGCACGCATGCACGCACGCACACACACAATTTTTAAGCAAAAACTGAATCATACTATCTATACAGGTTTGCAACTTTTTAAAAAAAATATGACTCTCTTACATGTCTTTCCATGCCAGAATACACAGATCTACCTAATACTCTTAAACAGTTAGGGGCGCCTGGATGGCTCAGTGGATTAAGCGGTTAAGCACCTGCCTTCGGCTCAGGTCATGATCCAGGGGTCCTGGGACTGAGACTGGCATTGGGATC